AAAAAAGTCGCTGAAAACTTGCTAAACATAGCGACAAAGTCGCTAAGTTGGCAACACTGCTTATAACTTAATGCTAAAAAACTAATTTCACTTATTTAAAAAATGCGTGCAAGCTGATTGGTTTAAACTCAGATAAAAGCTTTGATGTTAGACAGCACAGATGCTGATTGGCTGAAGCATTCACGGGACGCCATCCAATCAGGACGTGTTGGGAGCGTCTGCGTTTACAGCAGACATAAAGAGCAGTTAGCATCTCAAGCCGTGCTCGCTGCTTCGTGTAACTGCAGCTGACCAAAGTACAAAAAGCACCGCGGCGTCATCGAGGGGCGCCTCCGCCGGACTCGCGTCCTGTTCAGGTGTGTCCCGGCTGCACACGGTCAGTATTTTTAAGGGTCTAGTTTTACAGTAACAGTATTCTATCATTTCATTGCCTGACAATGGATGTCTTGTCAGTGTTTTTAACCTCAGATAAAAGAAAAAATAGTTTTTTGTGCACTTATTGACCATCGTGAGCTCTCTCTCTTATTCTTGGTGTGTAAGTGCATTGAGATCCCCACTGTGGGACCCGTGTATAGTCTTGCAGCATTGGTTATAACCTGAAGAAATAACAATGATGAAAACGAATGAATTCATAATAATGAAGATAATCTTATACTACATAAAAAAGACAGTGACTCTAGTTGTTGTTTGTGGCATGGTTATGCATTCAATGGTCATAATTTTAACGATTAAAACAAGACAAAAAAAAGTCATTTTTTTCCACTGGCGCTGTTCTGCTGTTTTTATTTTCCACTTTTCCGTGTGCAGTATTGCCGTTCCTGTTGCTAATGGTGTTGCTAAGCTAGCTTGCTTGCTCAGTTGTTTACCACCAGAGCAATATATTGTAGCAGTTTGACAAAATCGAGACGTTAAAAACAACAAGTCCATTCAATTTACGGCATACAAGTGCATGAATTTATGATTGCAAGTCTTCAGTGATATGATTATGGTGTTCTGTATTGTTTATCCTAATAAAGCGGATTTGCAGATGTGGTGTAATGTATTGCTCTGGCCACCCGTTTCCCTGCACCCACCTCTGCTCACGTGCTCCTCCTCGCCCTCCTCGCAAACACACGGCTCGGACGCTTTCAGAGCCCGTGGTGGATTTCAGACGAATGATCGGAAAAGCAGAATTCAAACTTCCAGCGCTGCTGGATGTGGAGGACCACAACGGCCATTGGTTAAAAAGGACGTGAATAAATTAACAAACACGTCTTTAATGCAAAAATAATATTTATACAAAATAGGGTTTCTTAGCTTAATTGTTGTTGGAATCAGTCCTCTGTTTACTTTATTTCCCCTTTTGGTTCTTTCTGTGTTTCAGCTTCATTGTGCAAGCAAGACCCAGAGAGCTGATTCTGCTCACCTGGGTGTTACCTTCGGTCACCATCCAGGTGACCAAATGCACCGCTGAATCGTCTCTGGGTCAGCGACAGTGCGCCGACTCCTCCTGGTCGCTGAACCAAGGTCGGTCTCTGCGAGGCAAACGAATCAGTCGTGTTAAGTTTGGCTTGTGTTCGGTGCACAAACACGGATGCAAACTCAAACGTTAGTTTATGCAAAACTGTCAGAAATACTTAATAATCTGAATGATGGCAGTTTTGGTCGTCCACAGTCTGAAGGTGAAGAAGAAAGAAGCCAGACTGTCGGCTGTCAGTGTGGCACAGAACAGATTTGGCCCAAATGAAACCAAAACACCTGAGACAGGTGACCCGAGAGGCTCAGCCCGCTGTTGTAGTCGGGTGGAGGAGGACGTGAGCAGCTCGCTCTCCATTCGTTCAAGTCTCCTCATCTGACTGTCTAACCCACATGTAAAGACGAACGCGTGTGATGACACGTTCTGATCCTGCGTCCTCTCGGTCTGCTCGCTGACCGCGGCTGAACCATTCCAGGATCCCGAGCGCGGGATCAGAAACCCGAGCGCGTCGGCGCGATCGAGCATGAGTTTCAATGACATGACGTCTGAGTTCCAACCCGCTGTGAGGAGGTTTGCCGTGTTCCCACAGCTCTGAATCACAGGGGGAGATCAGACCCTCTGTGCCTCTTGTCCATCATGAAGTGAGCCGCAGATCTAACAGCTGATGATGTCAGTCCGTGACCTTCCACTGATCATCACGTGTTTCAGATTCATGCATTATGTGAGGTTGGACATCTTGGACGTTGGAGGTCGTTTTTTTCTGTTTCTCTATAGTGTGCTAGACTTTTTGTACTTCACTCTGGTTGCTTAGTAGCAGGCTTCATCTGATTCACTCCATCTTTGTACATATGTGTGCCAACAGCTTGGGCAGACAGTGGCTTTTTTATTTGTAAAGACATAAACTTGCTTGCATATATAAATAAAATGAAATAATACACTTGTGTACTTGTTAATAAGGGAACATCCTGAGTTTGTGTCTTCATTTCTCTCACAAAGTCATTAGAAATAATGAAAAAGGATAATGAGGATGTTACGTCATCCTCACACTGAGTGATGAAACATCAACAGACCAACGTGTGGCGCAGAGGATGAATAAAAGACGCTTTATCACACGCGGCCGGATCATCATCCACGATGGAAGCTGCTGTGATTCATATTTTTGGTGATAGATACAATAAATCTGATCAGAGTTATGAAGGACGTTTATGCACAAAGGCCTCACACCAAAGGTAAAGCTAGTCACGTGATGTCACCTGCTTCATGCAGGCCTTTATCCAAGGAAAGGAAACAACAGGCTGGCACAGGGAGGACACGAAAACTCTAAAGGCCTAACTGAACACGAGGACCAAGCCCTTCTTGATAAAGGCTGTAACAGCGCCATCTTGTGGTCACATT